AGCCATCTTTAAAAATAAAGGTAAAAAAATGTTAGAATTCTCAAAAAAAAAAGAAGGTTGGAATTCCCAAAAAAAAAGTATCAGGCTTCTTGGAGAAGCTTTCCCATTTTTTTTATTTATTTTAAGTATAAACCGGACAAAGTTAACGGAAAAAGTGACGGAAGTGACGGAGGTGTGACGGAAGTTAGAAATAAGGGCTATTTTCTTCCATTCTTATAGGTTAGGGGCAAAAACCGTTATATTATAAGGTGAGGGGCTAAAATCATTCAACTTATCAAGGTAAGGGGCTATTTTTAGGCTTTTGCCAGACAAAGTTAATGGAAAAAGTGACGGAAGTGACGGAAGTGTGACGGAAATTAGAAATGAGGGCTATTTTCTTCCATTCTTATAGGTTAAGGGCTAAAACCGTTATATTATAAGGTGAGGGGTTAAAATCGTCCAACTTATCAAGGTAAGGGGCTATTTTTAGGCTTTTGCCCTTGGATTCCTATCTAAATCTAATCTCGTTTTCCATTTGTTCATTTTTATTTGTATTATCTGCTCGAAATTTAGATTTAAAATTTAAAATTAATTATATTAAAAGGGAAAAGGACATTACTCATTTTGCCTATAAAACTAAAACTTTTGGAGAAGAACAATGGTAGCATAAGCCATTTGATGATTGAAATGATTTAGTTAGATGTCTGTGTCATTTGCAGGTCAGCTGGAAGCTGAAGAAATTTCTAATAAAGTAAGGAAATTTATATTTTGAGAAGGCTTATCCTTAAACTTTTACACTACTAATTTGCTTAGAACAACTCATAAAATACAAAAGGTTTAAACTTATTTTTAATCCTTATTTTGCTAAAGGTGCCTTTGCCCAACCCAATAAATAAAATACTTGCAAGTAATGGGTGTATTTATACCCAATGCTCACCCCTGACAAGATCAACTATAGAAATCCTCACCGGTATTGAGCAGAAATTGGTGACGGTTCTGAAGTGTTACGTTTTCCCACTGTTATCGGACTTGAATTTCTTGAAATTTGTTAATGAAGACTCAGTGTTCCATAAAGAAGAAAAAAAAAAGAGGAATTTCCAAACTTCCAGGTCACACTGAATCTCCTATAAACGTCAGCCTTCGGCCACACAATGAAATCTTTCTACGTGGAAATCCAGATGGAAACCCCCGCTTGGGAAATAACATTCCTACATAAGTTTCTTCTCCATATGGAACTAAAGAGTTACATTACAACAATAATAAAATCTTCAAAAAGAATTCTAGCATTATCAGGGCTTCAATATCACTCGATACTTTTTGCAAAAGTCCTTTAGAGAGGAATCAAGATGACCTGTGAATTTTGTCCGAAATAACAACCAAACATACTAAATCAGGAGCTATGCAATTGGAACCCAAAAGGTTTGTCATTAAGAAAAACTCATGACGATTTGAGAACTCACCAGTTTTATTCATGAACTCCGATAAAATCATAGAATTGCAGGGTGGGAACATTTTGCTCGGATATATATATAAATATATATTGGATTTTACTTCTACAACCAGATGCTAGAAGAGATCTCCATCATCAGTAAGTTCATGCCCTGACGCTTCAATTAGGGACGACATGCACCTGAGTACACACACACAACTGGGGAGATTGTGAAACAACTCTCGACTGGGTAACATACATTAAAAGAAGTGATAGATGTTTAATAGACCACACATACCTTCTCAAGACCAGTCATTCTTGGATTCAGGAAAACATTGGACCATTCACCAATGCTCCCTCACATGCATCTTTCCTCTGAATGGAACGATCATAAGAATCATGAACCTAGACCCTTGATTGTTAGTTTGTTGTAGAGGCATTGGCTGCATGGGCCGGCAGAAGTAGACGCATCAAATTAGTGCAAAACCCAGTTCTCAGCTCCTGGAGAAGAAGAGGTCTCTCAACCAATTCTAACAAACCTTCCATTCCATCAAAATTGAATATTTTGATCGTTCCTAAGGCCAATGAGAAGCAGAAGTTGATAGGAAGAGACTTCTTTTCTTCTTTGTCTGAAGCAAAATTAGCAATAAGATGAATGAGAGAGTGCAATACACTGATCTCTATATAATCAGAAATTAAACTTCAATAAAAGAAGAAATTGCTTGCAATTATGTCATTACGTCGCAAAACATCACTTTAACTTTCCTAGTAGAGTTTTAAAGACATTTTGGCTAGTAACTTAACCATCAGTCAATATAAAGCAAATATATGATAGAAGTATAGTACATATAACTTGCTGTTGCTTTAAACAGAGGGTAAGAAATTCACCGTAGATTAATCAAGAATAGAGCAATCAACAAAAGATTAATTACCTCAGTAAAATAAAGTTCGTATGGCATATATTCCTTTCTTCAATCCTCAATCTGAATCTTCGTATCCGCCGTTGTCTCCAAAGGGCACTAGAGAGAGATAATATGTCATCAGATGGACAAGAAGGTATTGAAATGATAGATGTACTAAAATAGTGACTCAGCCAGATATTAAGATCATAAAACGAATGTAACTGTTCAACCACCAGCCTAACTTAGATAAATAAATAAAATATGATATGAAGGGATCACATTGGGAAATATAGATTTAACATACCTTTGAAAAATCAAGATCTTTGGATCGCACTATCTGCCCATTAATTCTGATACTAGGCGTGTGGCAAATGGATGACCATTCGTGGCTGCCTTCTTGAGCATACCCCACTAATTTGGGACAATCGTTTATATCAAGAGATGTTAAGTTTGACAGCCAAATTGGTATAGCCTGCAAGTTCGGACATGATTGTATGCCCAGTATAGAGAGACTTGGAGATGCAGATCCATCTTCCCACAATGTATTGAGCACTGGACAATCCAGAATATGCAACTCCTCAAGGCAATCAAACACAACCATGCCTCGTGCTTCTGTCCATTTCTCCAGTTTTGTCATGTTGCTTAAAGTAAGTTTTTTCAAATCTGGAAATGGTAGGATTGGTTCTCCTCCACCTTCGCTGCTGCTTGCCCACCATTTTTTGAGCTTGGGGCAATGCTGAATATGCAACTCCTCAAGGCAAGGAAACACGATCATGCCTTGTGCCCCTATCCATTCCTCCAGCTGTGCCATGTTACTTAACTCGAGTTTTCTCAAAGCTGGAAATGGTTTTATTGATTGTCCCCCACCTTGGCTGCTACTTTGATGATAAGACATTCTGCCTATCCTCTTCACATTTGGCACTGCCTTTATATTGAGAACCTCAAGCTTAGGTAAGAGTTCAAGGCATAAAATATCACCACATTCATCACAATCAATCAATTTCAAATTCACAAGCTGTTTCAAATTCATCATCCATGAAGGGCAGCTGCCTCCCCTATACTTCTCAGTGGTTAAGCTTTTCAAATTTGGGTGAGGTTGAAGACCTTCCAGAACAACCATAACTTTGTCACTGTTGGCTTTGTTTTCACTCCATACAAATTGCAACTCGATCAATTCTCCTTTATCTTTAAGTCTTGCTTCTCTAGCTCCTGATTGAGGTACTAGCTCAAGCTTGCAAATTTTCAGTTTTCCTTGAAGTTGGTTCAAAGATTTAAGCTCTTCAATTCTCCGATCCTTTTCTGTGCCCACAACAAATAGCGGTAAAGTCTGAAGAGAAGTTAATTTCCCAATGCTACTTGGCACATGCCTTTCATCATCAAAATAAATATGCCTCAAGCTGACTAGATTTTCAACACCACTTGGGAGCTTTTCCAATGAATTGCAGTCCGTGAATCTCAAAGTCTGCAAATTGTAGAGCTTGGTGACAGATTTTGGTAGTCTTTCAATTGCACTTGCTGATATGTCAAGGTATTTCATGTAATATTTCAATCCGCCAAGAGCAGATTCCAACTCATTTGCATCAGCAGCTGCTAGCTTTAAAGATTGCAAACCTCTGAACTTCTTAGGCATCATTTGCAAAACATCAACATCCAAGAACAAAGAGTGCAACCTTTCAGCAACACCTTTTGGAAAATCTTGAAGGTTTTCATCAGACTCAACGCTCATATGCCGAACACTCCCTTCAACAGGATGGGTATCCGGCCAAATATATGTATCACATTTTGCTGAAAGCAATGCAAGATTATGCACCTCACCATGCATCTTGCAAAACTTTATATTCCCACACTCATCCATATCCACGTCTTCCAATAAATAATTGGATACCAAATCATTCAAGTACCTGTTACCAACATCTTCTTCTTTATCAGATTTGCCGTCATTAGATTTGGAAAGAAACCCATTAGCCATCCAACACTGAACTAATTCATCTCTACTAATTTTAACAATTTTTTCTTTTGGAAAAATTGAACAGAAAGAAAAGCATCTTTTCAAATGCGGAGGCAAGTGATCATAACTTTTTTTCAGTTGAGACAGAATCTCCTGTCTATGTGGTGCATGCCATGACTTATCATCTCTGATAGCTGACCACTCATCTACCCCAATATGAACGCCCAAATGTTTGCCAAAGACAGCTGCAACTAATGGCAATGCTAGAATGTAATGCGAGCAGGTGCACATAAAACTTGCAATGATAGAATATCATTTGAATATGTCACTTGCAATGCTGCCTTTATTGGTGTCCAGAATGTAATGCGAGCAGGTGCACATAAAACTTGCCTTTTTAGCTTGGACTCCAGCTCAAAGTAATGGGAAACATGAGTGCCCTCCAGTCTTTCCCGTGAATTGGAATTTTCACCATTGGCAAAAAGCAAACACATACATCTTGGCCCCAATTGTCTTTATAATAATATGTCCTGAATTTTTTTCCTTTCAATATTTCTCTTTCCTCGGATCTTTTTCTCCGCCTCGGATTCCTTTCCCTCTTGCCATTTAACAATAGCATACCCCACGTTTTCAAAATGTAAAGTGGAATTGCCTGCCCTCCAGCAATGCTAAGCAGGGAACAACTTGATGCAAAAGTACGGGGAAACAATTCAGAACAAGCAATTATTTGCCCATAGAAGTAGGGCTGGGCCTTTTTAAACCGAATTGATGGTTTATTTAAAAATTGAATTGAAAAAATGAATTTGGTTTGGTTTTAATAGTTTTTGGTTTTATTTTTTTGATTTTAATATTAATCGAATATATTTTGGTTTGATTTTAATTGAGTTTCTTAAAAATTAAAAATCAAAAATAAACCAAAAATAAGCTATCTAAAAATTAAAATTAAAATAAATATGATAAAATATAATAAAATATGTGATAAAATATAATATATTATTAGAAAAATAATTGATTATTATTTATTTATTAAAAACCAAACTGAACCGATTTTAAACCAATTTATTGATAATCAAACCGATTAATTTTTGATAATTTTAATTCGGTTTCGGTTCTTAAAATTAAAAAAAATTTCGGTTATTTCAAAACCGGTTTCGGTTTTAACCGAAAACCGGTTTTGCCCACCTATGTAGAAGACAGAAAATGTCAGTATGTCACTGTATGAATGTACAATTATTGAGTGGGTGAAAATGTACATTTATTTAGCAGCATCAGACGCTGTAAATTGGGCGGTGAGAGTCTAGAGCTCAGCGCCATGTCAAATGCGTCCTTGAGACCTTTTCTAGACATCAGGACATGACAGCTATTAATGGAGTCAGATATTAAAT